GAAAATACCAAATAACTGTTATTCACTGCACACAGTTTACAATTCCAACATGCAAAGAGCGGACAACTAGCCTGAGCGTGAATATGTAAGCGACTGAGTGAGAGAGAGAGAGAGCGTGTGAGAGAGAAACTGTGCTTTCTAGCAGTTGCACGGCTGCCAGAACGAGAGCAGCTATCGAGTGGCTCTCAATTCAGTCACCAACCAGTGGGTTGACTGGCTGACTGGCGGGCTGACTTTCAGTTTTGACAGTTGACCCCAAACGAAAGCTCTTGGCCGAAAAAAGCTTGCTTTAAATTGGCTAGCTGAAAAAAGGCTGATAGTGCAGCAATGCGACAATAAGATATATGTTAACTTTTAAATGTGTTTGCCAGGTGCTCGTACAGACAAATTGTTGGCCGATTACAAATACGCGGAAATGGTAACCGGCGACATCTGTGTGTGTGCATGTGGGAGTGTGAGTGTTTTCTTGTTTATCGTCTGCTTTTTTATAGAAATGTTCCGATTGTAAATTTTTAGCACACGCACCGGAAGCTGTCGAGCGTACACGAAGCGCTGATAAAACAGACTAAAGCCTGACTGTCTTGCTTACACCCCAAAAAATATAGGGAAAAGTTACTAAAATTTTTACAGGCGAGGTAGCAGCACCTGACTCACACACACATACACAGACCCAAACGTAGAGAATGCGCGCGCGCTGTGCGCCTACATTTGTAACTAATGTACGTATGTGTGTGTATGTGTGTCTGCGAGCTTGTACGGGGCGTATAGGTAATTTATATAAATTATTTAATTAAGCCATGTACGTCAGCACGCGGCGCAGAGCCCATTATTTAGATTAAAATCACACCCATTACGTTTTATGCCACCTGTCTTGAGCGCTTCCTTCCTTATTCTTTTCGCTCCTTTCTAAGCTTCCTCCCCCTCTCTCCCTCTCACTGTCTGTTTCCGTCTCTCTCTCTCTCTCTCTCTCTTTCTCTTCCGTTAACGTCTATTGGTTTTGTTATGATAGTTCTTGGCATTGCCCTTAGCCGCCCCTCCCGTCCTGCCTATGCCAGCCAAATTGGCCACATTTGGAGCGTGCCTATGGTTTTCGGCTTTGTTGGATAATTTAAAGACTGATGAGAGAAAGATTGCAACTGCTGCTATTGCTTATGTAGCATATTTCCTCTATCCTTAGGAAATAATTAAATAGTATTATATATACTACTCTGTGTGAAATATAATACTATTTAATTATTTCCTAAGGATAGATGGGACAAATAAATATCATTATCATTTTATAATTATCATTGACTCAGGACCCTAATATATGAAGATTTAAGATATGATATTTATTAATTTTTTTTTTAAATTTAAATTTATTCTGATTTTCATATTTAAACAAAATACAAATCAGAGATAATTCTTAAATATATTGTGTTAAATTTTAAAATAAGAAACTCATTCGGAGAAGGATTCAATTTCACTGCGAATATTCTATCTCTCCTACAAATATTTATTTCATATTCCATTTTATATTGTCTTGTAGCTGGAAAATCATTTGCTTTGAATCGCGATGCCATTGAAAATGCAATGGAGCAATCGCACTTAGCGTTCGAAATTGATTTCTTTTACAATACCAAGCCAAATGATAAAGTTAATTTACCCCTCACTGGTATCTGCCAGCTGAAAGCCATGATATTTAATACAAACTGCCCGCACCCCTAACCGCCACCCCTCCCTCTCTATCCAGTCCCTCATTTCCCTGGGGCGGCACTTGGCGGTCGTTGTCAATCAATATGAATTCAAGAGCTGCCGCAGCCGCAGCCGTAGCCAAAGATGACAACTAAACTTCTCTTCAGCCGCAGACAAAATGTCATTTTTTAGGTGGGTAGAGAGCGGCGGGGCGTGAGGCAGCAGAGGCGCGGTCGGATGTACACGGCGGAGTGGATTAATTTAAAACGGTTTCATGTTGTGATTTTGACAAATGATAATTTTTTTTGAATGCCCTGCTGTGTGTGCGCGTGTGTGTGCGCGTGTGGGCGAGTGTTGCAGGCAGGCTGTGTGCGATAGCTTTTGTGTTTGCTTCGTCATCCCAGCTGCGAGTACGATATCTCTGCTTCCCTTTGTATGCTGCCTTTTGAGTCTGCAATTTTGTAGTGGTCGATGAGTTGGCACAATGCGCGCGACAGATAAACGATAGCTGCCCTAGCCCCACTCGTAGCCCCTATCCCCTATCCGCTGAGCCCTATCCACATTTGCAGAGTGTGTCAAAGGGTCGTTAAGTATGCAAGCTGCCACCCACACATACACTCGTACCTATACAAACTCAGACATTGATATAGTACTGAGAAAAGTTTCAGTTTCAGTTTCAGTTTTGGTAGATCAAAAAACTATGTACATCTGGGCTGACTGCTACATGCTCCAGTCTCTATCTCTCCCTCTTTCTCTCTCTCTCTCTCTCCCTCTCTCTCACTTTCTCTCCTTCTCTCTTGCTGTCTCTATTCTTTCCCTGTGTTTCGCAGTACTCCCCTGGTTACAGCCTACACGGAAATACATTTGAGTCCTGCTGCAATAGACAGCGAAACGGGCGGCAGGACAAGCAATCAACAGCTAACAGCCAACAGCAACCAGCAACAATTTATTGATTTAACAACCGGGTATCTTAAATTTAATGCTTTTACACTCCTTATTTCGGGGCGTAAACTGAACCACAGAAAATTTTTCAACGAAAACTGGTTTCAATACAAACGGATTTATTCGTGTTTCCATGCTGGATATTATGCACGAAGAAAATTATTGCGCTACAACGTGAAGCAAATGGTTAATGGACTCATTGGGAAGCATATAAGAGAAGGGCAATCTAGCTGAATTGCGGGCAAAGTTAAATCGACAAAGCCAATTTCCTTGATTTTTGTTGTTGCTGTGTGTGTTTCTGCTTCTGTTTCTGTTACTGTTGTTCCGTTTCTGTTGATTTTACCAGGGAAATAGGCTCAGTCGGCATGTGGCCCAACCAATAAAGCTGGCAAAATGTGTGCATATACGGCTTGCAGCATGTCCGAAAATATAAACAACAATGAGGATTCGTGCCAGCCAGAAAACACGAGCAATAAAATTGCAATCCTATCGACTTCGATACCATCACTTCCCATCGAACCCCCATTCCCGTTGGTGGCCGCTTGGCTCGGTTTCGAGGCACGCATCTCGAAGCAGACGGTAAGCAGCGTCTGTATCGACTGGACACCTAGCCCGGAATCCGTTTCTGTGTTCAGCATCGAAAAGTTCCACAGGCGACACGGCTGGCAGCAGGTGCTATGGGCGAGCTCGAGTCCCCAGACCATTCACCATCTGGAAGAGAATTTCGGCTATCGAATACGCATCCGAGCTCTACGACCCGCTTCGGATGGCAGTCAATACGAAACTCTGGCCATTTCACCGGACATCATTGTAAAGCGCTGATTGCTCTTTTTATATACGTATATAAAATATTTTAGTGTAGTCGAGCCTCTTTTCAAATTTTTGTTCTTTTAAAGCTTTTACAGAAATCTCAGAAGTCGTTTGAGGAAATTGTGGTGTAAAGATTAAATAAAGCTCGAGTATGTTTGCATACGGTAATCAGTTCAACACTTAGGGCCTTGAGAATCATATAGAAAGGCATTATCTATTGGCGAACGTATGCTTATTTGTATATGCATTCGCTAATGCAACCATACTTATAGGTATATGTGTATCACTTTTGACCACAAATCCTACAAATTGTCAAATGAGATTGAAATCTGTGTGTTTGTGTATTTGCATGAGCATGCATTCATACATGCCGGAACGTACACATGAGTACATATGGCCATATGCATGCATGTGCATGCAATGCGCATAAATACATTAAAGTGTAGGCTATTTATACCCTGTAGTCACTATATTAATTACAAGTATTAAATGATATAATGCTTTGTAATAATCTAGGCAACCACGGAAGCAGCGCTACCATCCACAAACTGTTTGTATCGAGCCATTCGCAAGTCACAGCAATTTTTGGTCAAGCGCATGCTGCGCCGGCGCCCTAGCCTAGTGGACTATCCCGGTCCGAACGGATATCTCCCGTTAGCAAATGCCATTATTCAGGGCGAAATGTGCGTCATTGATGTCCTCCTCTCGGCTGGCTGCAGCGTGCATCTGGGCAATCCACACAACAAGCGCAGCCCGCTGCATGTGAGTAGAAAGGATCACGGGACGCTTCCACTAATCACTCACCTGGTCATTGCAGCTGGCATTCTATCATGGTCATTTGCCGTCGGCCCGTATTTTGCTGAACAAAAAAGCGCAGCTAGAAGCGATTGACTGCAATGGAATGACACCCGCGCACTGCGCCGTTGATGCCAATCAGTTTGAAATGGTGAAGTTTGCGCTGGAGTCTGGCGCCAACCTGGAGGCAAGAGATGTCTGCGACTGGACACTGCTAATGCGGGCAGGTAACTTTTAGAAATGGCTCTTCTTTTGTACACACCATATATTATGCATATGGTACTTGGTTACTTCAAAATCAAACTGCTTTAGCCTTAACTGCCTTTCATTCACACCCCGCAGTGGTCATGGATGCTGGACTGGAGCTTATCAAGCTTTTGGTTACACATGGAGCCGAGATCGGAGCTCGCGATGGCCTAGGCAAAAGCTGCTGCGATTTGGCCAAACTTTATCGCCGGCAGCAGGCAACGGATTATTTCGACAAAGTGCACAAGTTTCGCCAGGAGCAAGCAAAGGCTGCGCAAGCTTTGGACAACACACCACCACAATCCGGCCAAAAGGATTTAGTGCAGTCGGCCGGCTAACAGGATGAAATCTGTCGAAGAACGTGCTAATAAATGTCTCTCTCAGAGCTCAGCACATGCTAACTACTTGCAGATAGGTATGTTGCGTCATAAATTCGAAGAACACTTCAGACTTCACATTTCAACAATTAAATATACATACAAATATTACAAAGTGTATACATAGACAGGTAATGAATTAAACTTGGATTATAAAAAACATTAGGCTTTAGATATTATTTTAAACACAATTCCTTGTGATTTCCGTCTGATAGCCGCAAGAGTAAGTATTAAAGAAATCCGCGTTTTCCTTGAGACCCAGGTAAAAAACGTGCTCGGCCAACTCCTTGCCAAACTCACAAAAGTTCTGGGCGAAGAGAGTGAAGAAGATTCGCTTGTTGCTCAACTGGTAGTGTCGAAGTATCTCGTTTTCTTGGTCGTAGATCGCGCGATGCTTTGTCGAGGACTGTATCCAATCGCTATACTCTTGCCAAGTGTGCCTAAAGCTCTTTAGATATATGATAGCTAACATGCGAGCCTCGCTTAGCACGTTTACGTACTGGGGCAGCTTGAGACACTCCGCCTCCTCCCGGAAGTGCGTTGAGTCCCGTTGCCGCTCGCTAATGTTAAACATGGTCATGTACAAATGCACGGTGAACGTAGGATAGAAGTAGGACATGGGCTTGTACCGACTCTGGTATAGATACAAACTCCAGTCGAGCATCGTCCGCTGCACACCCAGCTCGAAAGTAGAGTTACGCTTCCGATGCATTTCGAGATTCCGCAAATTGTGCTCGTAGCTCTCGCGATAGATGCGCAGACCGGCGTACTCTCGGTTCAGGTCTCCGGCATAGAAATATATACTGGGCGTGGCAAATTTCTCCTTATAGGTTTGTAATCGGTTTCTTAATGGATGGGAGTCGGTTCCAAAAACTGATTTACTGCGGTCCACAAAGCGCTGGATTAGATCCCGAAAGTCACGCAACTCATGCGAGCTGCCTTCGACCAGGTCTTTGGTAATGATGTAGCCAAAGAGCGGTTTGAAGTACTCAAATGTTTCGCGATAGCAGTCCTGCAAGGACTTCAGGGTGTTGCACGATATGAAGAAGTCGATTAGTTTCTGCTTTGCTTCAAACTGCTCCGGATCGTTCTGAAGCTTAGTCAGCAACTGAATGAGATCGCTGCTTGGCGGCATATGACCTGTAGGAGATTTAATAATTCAATGGCAAACCAGCTTATGATTTTCTTTCCAGTTGATTGATAAGCTGTATATATAATTAGGTATCCAATATATTCGTACCCACCCATAACCGAGAAGAGAGGACGATTGCGACTGCAGACGTGGTCGTAGTAGCTGTCGCAGGCGTATTTGTGGGCATTGATAGACTGCTCCATGCGCATAGCCAACTGGCTTAGTTCTTTGATGCGCAGCTCGGATAGGTGGCCTGTGTATGCAATCTGTGCCTCCACAGCGCCCAAGTAGGCGCAGAGGAGAACACACAGTGGAGCAGTCCACATCTTTCACTGTTGCTTAATTTTGATCTAAGAGTTTTGCTTAGTCTTCAGCTCTTCTCGCTGTTGTTCCCTCAACGCGTATTCGAATACACTAAGCCTCGAGCTGTATAGCCAGCTATGTCGATGGCATCCGCCGTTGCCCAAGCTCAAGCGCTGATAAGAGCTGATGTCGAGTGGTATCAGCAGCAGTTCTATTGCTCTCCCGCTGCTTGGATGACTTAATTATACCTCTTACGAAAAGGAAAACTCTATAAGGTATTATGCTCCAGCTATTGTACTAAAACTATGCTATGGACTTGTTGTTGCACCAGATCTTAAGTCAAGCCCAAGAAGTAGGACAATTTAGGGACCATACATCTATTGGTGATTACTATAGATCATCCAATTTCCCTCCTAATTATGGGTTGCCGATTAGCATATCTCACACAGTTGAAAGTCATTGTTTCGTGATTATATATTATTGTACAGCGAGTATAGGGAATCTACTAGTCTCACTTAAAAATTTAATGCGTCAAGAGTTGCTCACATTTTCAAGACGCTTCCCAGTTTTTAAATATTCGCTCTGGCTTGCTCGTATATATCAGTGCGCCGCTGCTTGTAGATGGGAATCTGGCGACGCACTTCAACCACCGTGTCGAAATCTATTGAGAAGTGGGGCATTTAGTAGGTCTCTTCGCGGATAGAAAACCACTTACCAATTGTTTCTACAATCAGTTCATGTCCCTGGCCCGCCTCGCGCAGCACTCTAGCCCAGGGATCTACAATCATCGAGTGTCCGTATGCCACATAGCCGGACATGTTGTTACGGGCGGGAGCGCAGGTGACCACAAACAGTTGATTATCCATCGCACGGGCTCGCTGCAAAAGCTCCCAGTGCATGGGGCCCTGGCAGATGCAGAAAGCCGAAGGATAGACAATCATGGAGCACCCTATATCGTCATTTACATATTTACAGATATACATATATGTATATATAAAGTATAAGTATAATATTTTTTAAAGGCTTATCATAACAGAAGCACTTACCCATAATGCGATAGAGACGCGCCAGCTCCTCGAACCGCTTGTCGTGGCAGATGCCGATGCCGACTTTTTGCGCTCCGATTTGCACCACAGTCAGCTCGTTGCCTGCGGTCAATGCCTCACCCTCATCGAACTGCACACCGCCGAGCTGTTCCGCTTCGATGTTCATATTAAAGAGATGCAGCTGAAAGCAACAGGGGGAGGCTGCAGATCTGCTTAATTATGTGCAATGCACTTACCTTCCGATGTCTGCCAATTAGCTGGCCATTGGGCGCCCAGATAGTGCACGTGTTGTACAACATATTGCTGTCATCCCGCTCAATTATGCTACCGCCAATGATGTAGATTCCCAGCTTGCTGGCCAGCTTGGACAGCGCCTGACAGGTGGGGCCATCCGGTACCGGCTCAGCATGCCGCCTGAACTTTTCAACGCTGTAGGGGCCATTGAAGCTCTCCGGTAATATGGCCAGTTGTAGCTGTGGATTGTCAGCTTTTAGCTGCGTTATGCTTTCCAGCGCCCGACGCACATTATCCGCCACGTCCCTGCCTACGGGTAGTTGCAGCAAACCCAGTGTGAGTTCTATTTACAGGTACAGATTTTAATTACGACTTCAGAGACTTTATACGTTTTACTTACTGTTACTCATCATATATTTTGTATCGCTCGCAGGTTCGAGTTAATCGCACAACAGTTGCTAATTGACGATTTGTGCAAAACGTTTTTCCCTTTTTATAGCTTGGTTTTCTAATGCACCTATCTGGGCCTAACAACCTTGTTATACACTGAACCGAATGAATGGGAAATCAGGGTATAATGGTTTTGTGAAAATGTATGCAACGGGCAGAAGGAATCATCGCAGACCCCATAAAATATATATATTCTTGATCAGCTCTACAAGTTGAGTCGATATAGCCCTATCCGTCTGTCCGTCCGTCCGGCCGTCCGTCCCTCGTTATAAGAGCTAGAGAGCTGAAATTTGGCATGCATAAAGTTTATAATATGTTTTCGATAACTCATCCGATAACCTTTTTATCGAGAATAATCGAAAAATTTATTTAGTTTTTTCAGCCTAATTTGAACATTTTTAGACCTAGAGACTACAGATTAACTATGTATATACAGTTGATCGATACGAAGATTTTGTAATTTACAGATTTTGGATACCACGCCCCTTTCGCCCTCAAKTTGTAAAAAACGCATTTCAAGTACTAGAGACTTGTGCTTTGGAATGTACACACATTTTAACCATAACCATAACAAATAAATTCTCATAATATTGCCCATGTGTGCATAAAAGAAGTGCAGAATGAGAGAAATGAGAATGAGCTTGGACGGTTCAGGGTATCTCCTAGTCGAGCAGTCTTGACTAGAGCTTTCTTACTTGTTTAATTGTGTTATCAATCAAGATTCGATTTATATTTTTTTATTGTATTTCAATGCCCCCTTCAAGTATTTATAATCAATAGAAGCCTTGTTACACAAAGAAAATGCACATACACCCTGCACCCTGTATTCATGCTTATTTTCTACGTTTAACGTTTATTTATTATGGAATATATTTCACATCCCACAAAAGCGTATTTAAATTTTGATGTAGCAAGAATATATAGCTCAAGCGCCTCCAGCTTTTAACAAATATAATATGTATATTTAAATTACTTATATATTTGAGTTTTTATTTTTGCTTTGCGTATTTTACTCTATCGACTGAATCAGCGTTATAAACGACATGGCAGCCCGAAGAATCTGTATCAAATCAAAGTAAGTTATCAGATGCACATTGACACCAATTCAATCTATTACTTACCCCCAGAAAGTTGGCCAAGGAAGCCTCGTAGAATCCCGCCTTGATGAGCACCTCCCGTTGGGAGCGATGCATGATAAAAATCAAGAAACGTCTTTGTGTGTTGGAAGCTGAATGCCAATTGGATGTCTGGATAGCCACTCCAACTCGTAGGCCCTGAGAACATATACAAGACTTCGTAAAAATATAAACTGAATAAAAATATGCTCAGAGACACATGCGAAGATTTAGACTCAGATACAAACATATGTTGATAGAAATACGAATGCAGGTACCTCCACTTTGATAACCTCCCCACCATAACAGTATATGAAGAGCTGCAGCATTATGGAGCAGAAGAAAGAAAAGTACACAAGGAGAGCCATGATGGAATCCAAGTGCTGCAAAAGTAATCATCGCTTCAGCTAGATGTGTAATATTTATTATAGTGTATATAGTCACCGTCACGATCTGGTAGATTATGACACCCACCTCCAGCGAGGTGATAAAGAACTGTCCAAACACGATGGGCGTGTAGATGTGGCGCAGTTGCCTGGACAGGCTAAGTAGCTGTACATGGTAGTCAACTACATCGGCCATTTGCTTATCTACCAGCTGCTCCTCCTGCCCAAAGGCCAATAAGTTAATGTCCTGTTGCAGCGCCTGGAAATGGGCGCGCAAATTGATCGCAAACGATATGAACAGCCCATCTACAGCCGAGGCATACAGCACCACAAAAATAGTTACGAACAGTATATAGATAAAGCCAAACTCGTAGCCCGGACTCTCGACATCATTGAAAGGCAATCTGATAATAGGAGCAACAAAACGAAATTAATATGGAGTTTACCAGAGTCTTATTCTAGTAGTTGGGAAGTTACCACAAATGAAAACAGATTGCTGAAAGGGAAAAAGTGAATATGTAAAAAAAAAAACAAAATAAATAAATAAATAAAAAGTGTTCAAAGTTCATAAAAGGAAGCTTACTGGGTCACATAAAGCCTAATACTTATTTAAAAAAAAGAAAAAAAGAAAATGAAAAACTTTTTGTTGTTTTATTTAAACCAAAAATGTTGTTAAAAAATAAAAATTGATTTGTATACAGATTCAAAAGTCGCACAGACAAGTGGACTAATATACCCTTCTTTACTTCGCAAGCAAAGTATAAAATGCCAGTACCCTTGTGCATACATTTCTTAAGAATGTCATTTCGAAATTGTGAAAAAATAAAAGGAACTAAGAAGACCTTCCTTTCCTTTTATCTTTACTTTCTATGCAAAGCAGCTGTAAAGGACAAAGGTTTCAGGGCTTCCATATTGCTCCCATCTCAGAAGCGAATATCAGCTTAGCCAAACGGAGACGGATTACCCCAGATAAAGCGCTAATAAAACGAAGAAAAAATAAGCTCAGTCAGGGCAATAAGTGTTCTTACTTCATGGGCATGGGCAGCTCCCTCTCATAAGGGACTCCCCGCCAGTTGTTGGTGACAATCTTGATGATGGGTCCAAGCATGAAGTAGAGTCCAGTGAAGCCGCAGGACAGGCTATACGCACGGCCCAGAAACGTGGCCAATTTGTTACCGTGCTCCACATACCCATAGCCTACTGTTCCATGTTGAGCTGTGCCGAGTTTGTAGTTTAATTAGTATCAGAAAAAATTACACTTTTCAACAAAATAATGCCTATATTAACGGTTAGGTAACAATTTAATTATTATTATTTACGGATTTCAGAGAAGTTTTTTTTTTAGTAATTGAATAGATTGTAATATTATTTTTAAAAAATTGTCCAAGTAAGCATATGTGTATATAATTTAATTAAATTCTTTATTAATTTGCGATAGCCCTAGAAATCAATTTCTGTATTCATTTTGATTTAACAGAAGCAGCAAAATATATAAGTAAGTAGCACCCAATGAACCTAATAAATATGATAATAATTGCTGCCTTACCGTACTTTGGCACATATTGTAATTAATGTTATTTACATTTTGAATCAAGCTGCCTAAAACTCTGCATCATTTGAATGAAGCTTTGTTTGTAAGCGAGGAACGTCCATATCTTGGTGACAGTCACCAAGTTGGTGAATGCGACGCTCAGACAGGCCGTAATCAGCTCCATGTCATCCCGATTATAGACGACATACGACAGCATAGGATACTCGGCGGACAGTACGAATACTAGCGATACAATGTGCCGAAGGCCAAGGGGCGGACTCCTCTCACCAGAACTCTCCATGTTGTGGCCCATCAGGCGTAGACAGTTCTCCTGCAGCTGGAACAGACGAGCCATGAATTGACCTCTCGAAGCTTTCTGTGCTCTGTTTAAAGAGCTGAAGGCAGCTAGTCTATATATAGAGACAAGAATCAATTTTAATTGGCGGCCTGTGCAGTTAATTGTACATTTGACATTATCCTCTCTAATAACTGTGATTGTGAGGACATTCGTTGACATGTTGACATCATAAATTATCATTGCTGACACTAATTGGTGTGGGAGTCCCATAGTCACCTTTCCACAATCCACGCTCACCTCCTAGCTTTAAAAAGAAAGTTCGCAATCGTATTGTGCGCAGCAACTTTACTATCTATACCCTGAACCCATTTTCAATGGGAAATCAGAGTATAATGGTTTTGTTGAAATGTATGTAACAGGCAGAAGGAGGCGTGGCAGACCCCACAAAGTATTTATATTCTTGATCAGGGCGACGAGCTGAGTTGATTTAGCCCTGTCCGTCTGTCTGTCTTTCTGTCCGTCCGTCTGTCTGTCTGTCCAGGCCGTCAGTATGTTTGAACGCGCCGATTTCAGAAGATATAAGAGCTAAAGACCTCAATTTTTTTGTAAAATATCCGAATATCGAATTTTGTTTTAAAAATCGATAACTACTCTTGATATTTTTATCGATAAAAACCTTATCGATAATCAGTTATAAAATTATATCTGCTACATCTTTTAAGCTAAAGTCTCCAAAATTTTAATGTAGATTTATATGCAATTTATTCAATTTCGGTTTTTAAAATGTAAAATGTACTGCCCACTCCTATATACACCCCCTCACCAACGTATTTGTAAAGGGCGTATTTCAAATACTAGAGACTTGTGCTTTTGCAAATGCATGCATATCCATGTAATAATCATAATCTAAAAGTTCCATGATGATAGTATGTCCACAAAAAAGGTATTAAACATTTAAGTTCTCATAGTAAGCGCACACTGCAGCCCGCGCGTGTTTAAGCGTGGGTGCTTGTGTACGTGTATGTGTGTGTGTGTATGCATGTTTTTTGTGTGTGTCTTGTGTAAGTAGAAAGACGCGAAAAATAATTGAAATAGCTACCTTTCAGGGGAGCTCGTAGTCGAGCAGCCTCGACTAGAGCTTTTTTTCTAGCTCTTATATCTTCTGANGACGGACAGACGGACAGACGGACAGACAGACGGACAGGGCCAAATCAACTCAGCTCGTCGCCCTGATCAAGAATATATATACTTTGTGGGGTCTGCCACGCCTCCTTCTGCCTGTTACATACATTTCAACAAAACCATTATACCCTGATTTCCCATTGAAAATGGGTTCAGGGCATAAAAATACTTAAGAAAACTGATTAGGTTTATAATTAAGCCCATTTGGATATAAGAAAGTAAAAGTATTTTTTTTTTTTTTTGCAAAAGTTTTAAAAAGCTCTGAGGTGAAAGCCCCGATGCTTAAGGCAGGTACAGAATAAGGAATAATTATGAAACTTGTAACAAAAATTAGTAATCCTATGAGTGATTATGAAACCAGGTGATGATGTTGACTTTAGTAAATGCAAATACAGAATAGACAGCATTGAGAGACAAGAGGGTATCTATTAAAGCTGGTCACATATTTAAGAAACAACAAGAGAAGGTAATGACGAGGTAATCGTTCTATCTATGTTTATATAGATAAAAGATCTAAATAATGATTTCAATGATCAACGCTAATAGATAGAACAAAAGTTTTTTTTTAACAATAATTCAAATTTATTAACAATCAGTTTGAGGGGATACAATTAAAGGTTGAGCTCAACTACTTAGAAACTGGGCGGCAGATATGCATTGCTTGTGTGGCCATGTCCACTGGTGACAGCCTGATGGGAGATGGCTTGCCCGGCAGAGGCACCAATGCCCGTGCTGCCAACAGCTGTGGCGCCGGCATCACCACCAGTTTGTCCACCGAGGGCGCCGATGACAGAGGTGACGGGGGCGACACCCTCATCGGTCAGTTGGCTAGTTCCACCGAGGGAATCATATTGGGCCTGGATCTGTTGTTGGGCATGTGCCGCCTCCTCGTTGGTCTTGTACTTGATGAAGAAGACCTCCGGCTTGCTGGTGGAGCTAGGCTGCTCGACGACCTCGGCATGGATGTCGGAGCTGTCGGTCTTCTTGCTCAGCACATAGATGACAGTCTTGTCCTCGTTGACGGCGGGGCTGATCTTGATGGAGGTCTTCTTGTTGGAGCGCTGTGGAGACTTGATGAAGACCACATTATAGTTGCGCTTGGGCACGCCCACTGTAATGTGACGTTCCTTGTACTCCTCTTCAATATCCTCGGGCGCCGAGTGAATGAAGAAGCGYTTGGACACAATCGGCTGCTGCTGCTGCTGTTGATGTTGCTCTGCATGATACTGCTGATTTACTCCGGACTGTTGCTGGAAGAACGTCTGCTGATGGGGCTGTTGAAAATGGACCTGCTGCTGCTGTTGCTGCTGAGCTGCCTGGAAGAAGCTGGCGCCACTGCCACTGATGCTGCTCAGGCCTGCCACAGCTGAAGGGCCAGGATTATAGTTGTAGCCTTGTGGTACGGCCAACGCCACGGCAGAGAGACACAAGACCTAGGGAAGAATAAAGCGGGTATATATAAGATGTCTGAGGTTACTCCTGCTTGAGTCTATTCCTTACAATGAATCCACGCATTTCTGTACTTGGTTGAGCTGTCTGGTTGGTTGATTAGTTGGTGGTTTACTTGACTGTTCGCTGTGAACTGTATGACTCTTGCCATCTTCAGCTGACTTTTATACGCTCTTCGCTTTCGACAACTTAATAAGTGAAGTTCAGCTTCAATATTTTTTTTTACATTTTTCTATTTTACTTTAGTTTTTTCTTTCCCCTTTTACGTTGCATGTTCATTGTTTTTGTTAGACTTCGTCTTCATCTACTTTTTTGGGTCTTAGTTGTCCGTCAAATCGCCTTCGCCGTCGCCTTCGCTTTTTAAAAATTTCTCATTAAATACCGCGTCTTGCTTGTAGTTGGCCTACGATACACAGCCAATTAGCGTGATTCCCCTGCAAGCTTTTTATACTCGCTCATCACTTACGAAACAGGAATATTAGTTTTGTATCAAGTTCGACTCTGAGCGCTATTGAACAAAACTTTTGAAATTCAAGTACATATCAGATGATAGCACATCTTATCATCTTATCACAGCTTATGCATCTAAGCCTCAATTAAGTCTAAAATATGATCACACAAGAAAAGTATCTGCCTAAGCGAGTATCGTACGTCTGTTACTCATCGACTCTTAACTTTCGGCATTTTGGCCACATTTGCTGCAGAGCTCTTAATTGTTTGCCACAGTCCAAGTTTCAGCACCCGAGCTGCCATTATGCGGTTGGACCCTTTGGGCCACGCATCGATTAAATGTTATTAAAACCAGGAATTACATAAACACCTAATCAATTTTTAGTACATCTCAAACTAAAATATTGCTTGAACAAATTTGAAGCCCTAACCTCTATTCTCCTCTGTACCCTCTGTTGATGCTCTTTGCCATGCTTATGCTCATGCTCATGTATTTTCAGGCTTAATTAATGACCCGTCGAGCTTCGAAAATTTTGCATGTGAGGTGGACGCCTCTTCGGGGCCCCATTTATCATGGAGTGAGATGCAATGAGAGAGCGAGAGAGAAAGACTGAGAGATAAAGAAAGAGAGACATAGTTCCATTCAGTGGAACATATCTCCAGCTGTCCGAGCTGGCCAAGATTAATTTACTTTTGATTATTTGGACAAAAGCCCTTTGTCAATACATGAAGACGGCAGCAATTGTTGGCCTAAACGAGACGCCCATCCAACTATTTGCGGCTGGTGTAATGATCCGTTTACTCCGCAGCCGCGCCAGCCGGCTAACCATAGCTAACCCAGGCTAATGAACATGCAATGCAATGCTCCCTCAACGCTTCTCATTACCAAGTTCCTCAGTCGAGTGTCAGCGACTGGGTCGGGGCTAAGCCACAACTTGAGGGCGTTGCACAATAAGACATCGCATGCCTCGTCGTGCAATATCTGAGAAATATTTTGTGTTGTAAACCTAGTCTGAAAAATTATTAAAAGGCTATAATATATGTTATTGGTAAAGACTAAGTACGCGAAACATTAATTATAATAAATACACATTAAATGATTTTCTTTCTAGTAAACAATTTAACGTAAACATCTCCACTACGGTAAATAAACCCATAATAAATTCAAAGCTTTTTGTCAGGTTTGTATTTTAAATGCATTTTCAATTGCATGTAAAAAAGTACAAACAAGTAAGAAAGCTCCAGTCGAGACTGCTCGACTAGGAGATACCCTGAACCCTCTAAGCTGATATTCTAATCATTCTGCACTTCTTTTATGCACACATACATACATATGCATCCACACGCACGCATAAGCCTGCGCTCTGCTAACTGCGCAGTAAGCAGCGACTGCGCTTGGGCTGCGCTGCAGTGTGGGCAATATTATGAGAATTTATTTGTTGAATAATTTCTTTTGTAGACATACGATCTTAATGAAACTTTCAGAGCGTAATCATATGGTGAATATGTGTTTACATTCCAAAGCCCAAGTCTCTAGTACTTGAAATGCGTTTTTTACAAATTGGGGGAGAAGGGGGCGTGGTATCCAAAATCTGTAAATTACAAAATCTTTGTATCGATTAACTTTATATACAACGCAAATTTGAAGACTCCA